CTCTACTGAGCCCAGAGATCTCTAGTTCAAATTTGCCTGGTGGTGGTTACACTGGGACAGGCATTATTACCCCAGCTCAAATAGGTTGCAGACTCACTCTAAAAACCAGCAGGTCCTGTGAGAGACAGGGCCATCTATACTGAAGTCCACCAGTTCTATTCCATAGGGAAGCCCTCAGTACTCATTGGATTCCTTACTGCTCGTGACTGCCCTGAGGAACTGTGTGGGAGTAATCTGGAGAGAAGATAATCTTTTCTGTTTTCTACACAGATGGAGGAGTCGGGGGAGGAAACCAACAGATATGTCCTTCCCAGCCTTACTTTCTTGCCTACCAACACTTCCCCTAGTCTGCTCCATCTTTGCCCCTTCCCCCAAGCAAAATGCCAGATCTACTAAGCACCCATGATAGTGCCTTAAGAAAGCAGGGATGGTATTACAGAGGCAATTAATTTTCCTTTCCATGTTTGGATCTTCCCTCCAGACCTACCTTGGGGTGGCAGTCTGGGTGTAGGTCAATAAGGGTTATCTTCTGAGGTGGGCAAATTTGTTGGTTAAACAAGAACACATCTCTGCTCCTCCAGATAGTTGTCTATTTCTTGAATGGAACTAAACTGAGAAGTATTTTAGATTGGATATGTCCTTTGATTCCTTTCCCTTCTTTTCTCCTTATTGTCTCCCCAGCTCCAAAACTTTTCCTAACATCCCATTTCTGTTGCACTCCAAGGGTTCTCTGGCAGCAGTACCCCAGATATCAGACAAATATTTGAACTTTCAGTGCTTAATCTAGCCAAATTTCACCCCTCATTATGGATCATACACACTGTCTAATAGGGTTCTTCTCTTTCTTATTTACTTCCAGATCCCTCTGCTCACATTTTAATTTGTTACATGTTTATGGAGCACCTAAGACTTTTTAAATTAATAGGATGTATAAACTGGCATAATTTAATATCTAAATTTAATATCTAAAAGAGATGTAACTTTCAGAGAACTACCTTTCTCCAAGCCCCCATATGTATTGCTCTCTATGCTACATGCTTAATAAAAATGTGGTATGTTACAAAATGTTTTTTTATTTTCACCTTTAAAAAAAGTATACCTGAGCACCCATGATCTGGAAGAGTACATAATCTGGCATAGATTATTTCCCAAATTTTCCAGATTAAAGAGGTTCAAGTGTACTGTTTCAAATCTTAATTGGTAATAGACTGTTTTATGCAGTTCAGTTCTAAGGATGTATGCCTATTTTCCACAGCTCCTGCCAAAAAGAGTTTCCATTTTGGGGCTTCCTGCTTATTTCTTCCAGCTGCTTCTCTTTCCTATCCCTTCTGCTGTTCTTCTCACGTGTTCTTGTTTTTCTACTGACTGTAGTGTTTCTTCTTTTTTATATACATAGAAATCATAATATAAATGGTCCTGGCAATTGGTTGCTTTTATATTTTTAATCTTTAAATTGACTTTCCTGTTTGAGGCAGTCCTCAAGCTCAGTAGCGTGTTTCTCATTAAAGTTGAAAGTAAGAGTTTGGAAAGATTTACAAGGTGTGTGTTCAGGTCTAAAATGTAGCATGACTCTGCTTGTGGTAGTAACATCTTCAGCCATATGGAGGAATTACTTCTCATGGGGAAATATTAATATATAGATTCCGAAAAAAAAGAAGTGGGTTTTTTTTGAGACTTTTGATTACCTCTCACTGGAATGAATTTAACTCTAGCTGGATCAGCACTAATGTGCAGGGTCACTGCTGCAAACACTTTCCCTTGTAACTTAACTCTCACAAGTGGTCCTACTAATTTCACATCAGTGACATGTCATTTGTGCATATGCATGTAAATATTAGCAGGAAGAGGCCCTTTGTTTTGCTTGTTCTTTCCCTGTTTTAGAATAAATTAAAAAACTTAAATTTTTTTTATCTATTGAAAATTATGGTTACTTAGAAAAACTGCATGCATCAATTTATTGCAAATAGATGGTCTATACTGTTTGTTTTAAAAGTAAACCAAAATTCAAACCAGCAACATAGCTGTTATTGTTGCTGTCTTTTTTTAAAATAAATGTTCTATCAATGAGGTGTGGCTAGTTGACACTACAGGATACTAAGTGCTATATTATAAATGTACTAAAGTTAACAGAGCTTCTCCCAACTCCCATGTCTCATGGTTGCTCCCACGTTTACCTGATCCAGATCAAGAATCACATGGCTTCCTATGCACCTGCTTCGATCTCCTTCACAGAGGTGCCCCTGCTGCATGAGTGAGGAAGAACAGGAGGTATTTTGACTTTGGGAGGCAAAATAGCTTCTGGGTCTACAACAGACACATGACCGCTACTGCACCCCTCTCTGCAGTGCACTTACTGAGCTCATGAACTAGCTGGTGTATGAGTGGATCTATGACCACACTTCTTTCCTTCCTCCTTTGGGGGTACCATTTCATCTTTTCACTGCCCACAATGCAGCAGCTTTAATTTTGCCTCACCCTTATATCTTTTCAATTTCATCTTTTGCTTTATAAGTATGTTAAAGTTGTTTTTTTCTGTTCTCATAAAGATTATATTTCTACATTTGCTTTAATCTTTTCATGTTTTTAAATCTAAAAATATTTACTGAATGCTAGTGCAAGTAAATATTGCAAACTGTTTTTAAAACTGCACATTGTAACTTAGCCAAGTTCAGGAGGCAGTATGGTGTTTGTTTTCCTGATTTTGTTTTCTAAAGAACTAAAAATAAGCAAAAGTAGCAATTATTCTCTTGTATCACATGGGGCTGGGTTCTACATTGCTTGCACTCCCAAATTTCTTCCTGCAACTGGAGGTCTGGGAATTCAATGGTTGCAAGATCAAACTTGTAAGGCTAAAATCTCAGTGAAGTATCTCAGTGATTTATACACATTCATCAAGCTTTGTTTGTGTGCAGGGTATAATTCTGTAAACACCTCTGAAAAAAATATATGTTAGAATAACTCCATCTTGCTGCTTTTGTTGGTGGTAGTGTTTATTTTTGTTTTTTTTTTTTTAAATCTAGGATTATCCTTTTATTGTAGGAGAGCGCCAGATATACTACAGTTAAGATTGGGGAAGCCTTTTCTGTTTAAAGGATGACTATTCACAATGCTTTGAAATCTGCATGTGTACTTAGATTGCTTTCAAACTTGGTATGCCTCATCAGAGGATGACATAGAGCTAATGAACCAAAATTGGGGACATTTGATCACACAGCTTCCAAGATATGTCCCTTCCAGAAAAAAAATTCAGAAGGTTAACACATTCAACTCTTCCCCCTCCCCTTCCCACCCCTCAGGCTTAAGGATCAAATTGTAGCTCTGGTCAGACCCCAAAGGGTCTTAGGCATTCAGTGTTTACCTCAGCTAGTGCAAAGCAACCACATCCCCTTTGGTAACAATATGGGAAACATTAGTGGCAAAAAGTTTGGCACGGGACTAGCGTGCGTACACACGCACCCACCACAGACATGATGCTGTTCATATGCAGACAGAGATTACTCAAGAAAGCTGCAGCCAGCCAGTATTCACTGGAGTGGGACGGCTCAAGGGGATGCTATGTGCCATTGAATCTGAACCGCATGGGGGGCACTTTGTTTGAATCCAGCCTTTGGAAGAGATAGGAGAATAAATTTAGCCATGTTGCTGCAGTCTGCCTTTGTCAAAGGGTTGGATTTTTGTTTGCTTTGTTTTGTTTTGATTCCTGGGAAATGTGCTCTGAGTACAGCAAAAAATTCAGGTGGTCAAACTTCATTCAAAACCAGAATAAATCATGCACTTGAATGCTTGCTGGAAAGGGTGGAGGAATTAGGGATTGGTGGAATGGGGAAGAGGAGTTATGGGTTGCTGCAGCAGGGAGAGGGAAATTCTAGGGAGGAATAAAAATGGGGATAGGTGATTGAGGGGGGAGAAGGATTGTGAGTTAGGTCGGGGCTGGGATTGGGTACTGCAGGAGTGAGTGGAGGTGTGACCTTGGGAAATGTAATGTGGGGTACGTCTAGACTACAGGCTTTTGTCGACAGAAGTTTAGACTACTGTCGACAAAGAGCGTCTAGACAAAGAAGATACTGTCGACAAAGAGCGTCTAGACTACATTCAATTCTGTCGACAAAGCAAGCTGTTTTGTCGACATGGCAGTGTAGACGCAAAGGACAGTTTAGATGCAATAACGCCGTCTGTCAACAGAATTCTGTCGACAAAAGGCGTTATTCCTCGTAAAATGAGGTTTACCAGCGTCGACAAAACTGCTGAGTTCTGTCGACATTATGTCGACAGTACTCAGCGGTAGTGTAGACGCAGGTTTAGTTTTGTCGACAAAAGTCCACCTTTGTCGACAAAACCCTGTAGTCTAGACACACCCGTGGAAATGGATGGCAGGTGAATATGGGGAGATTAGTCGCAAGGGTGGAAGTGTTTGTCAGCCCCACATTCTCTTTTCTTGTGCCTGCTGGAATTTGCCCACTGGGGATGTGTAATCCTTCTCCCTGCCCCCCTCCCATATATGAGCTAAGAAATGGGTGGCCCATTCCCTCTCAGGGTCTCCTGTGCTTTCAGGATTATCCTGTGCTAGGGATCTGGATTGAGCATGGCAGTTGCTGGTTAGTAATCAAAACTACAGCAGAGTATCAGCTTTCCTACAAATAAGGTTGATAAATCTTTTCTGTTTAAAGGTAGATTCTTCTAAATGCTCTAAACTTTTCATGGTTAGTCAGATTGTCTGGCCTCTTAGAGTGATGCCCCAATGTGCCCACAACACACATACCAATACCGATGCTCTGCCTTTTGAACAGGGGCTTCCTACACCTGTCCTAAACTGAAACACTTAACCTACTTTCAGGGGAGCCAACAGAATTGCCAGGTCCCTAGGCAATGTGTGTGGGAGGGGAGGGGACTCCATGTCAAACCTTCTCTCAATAGGGATGATTTTGATCATGCTGTTATCAGTTTGTGTAACCTTAATTTATGGACTTGCAATTTACAAACAAAACTGTTATATTTTATAGTGAGTGGACATCCAGCATTAAAGGCAGCTGACATTCGAGTGGTAGGAGAGTTAGTAGCCTCATCAATGAAAGCATGGAAAATGAAGAACCTTTCTGCTCGGGATTCCTTGCAATGATGGCTGGAAAGTAGACAACAGTCTTTCAACATCAAATACTTCTGCAAGTGTCCACAAGCAAGGAGTTTGATTGTAACATAATGCACTACATCTGTGTATACACAACTCATAGATGTCCTACAACTTGAGAACCATAGCCAGAGAGGCTGTTACAGCTATTTATTGAAAATCTGCTCGGCTTTGTTACTCAGGCTGAAGCATGCATGTTGATGTGCATGGTATAGGATAAATGGTAGAAGTACAAGAAGCATGTACAAATGTTTCAGAGGAAAGGACCAGCACAATAAACTCTTTTAAACTAAAATGTAAATTTATTTGAATTTGGAGGGAAAATGTAGACACATGAGCCAGTGATCTTTTAAAAGTATTTAAAAATTGCCCCTTCTTAAAACTGGAGTTTACTCTGGCAAATCTCCCATTAACTTCAATGAGAATTTGTCTAGTAATTGAGTAAGCATTTCAGAATTTGCCCCTAAAAGGGAAACATCTTGTTTTCCCATCCTCTCTGTGGGTGCAGAGCATCCTCTGTCTATGGAACCAATGTGATTCCACTGTTCAGTGTAGGATTTTAGGTATGTTGTGCAGAGCTGCACATGGCATAATGTGAAACCCTTCTCCATAAGAACACCTTAAGCAGCAGTGCCCATGGGAGTATGGCTGCACAGGCACCCTTAGAAACAGGAAGCTACATTGAGCATCTTTGCCTTGCTCTCACAGGAGACACAGTAAAATCATCTAAACTATTCCAGCTGTTAGGCGTAAGTATCCTCCCTGGAGAATCTCAGCTACTGCTTCATGGCCTGAGAGAGGAACTATTTCCTTTCCCCAGCTTTTCACAAAACCAATAAAATAATTATGCCAATAGATGTGTCTGCAGATCATATAATCCAGCAGCCACCAGCATCTGGAAGGAATGCTCAGGAATGGGCATTTCCCTATGGCTGTTTTGGAAAAATGAGAGGCTTTTAAAGTGCATTTGTCTGTGTTCAATATGTGTTCCTATAGTGCCTTCAGCAACATTGTACCTAAGCTCCTCCCAATACTGCATTAAGTGAGGTGAATAACATCTGTTGTGCATGGGACATTCATTCTCATCTCCGCAGGGGGACAATTGTGTTTGTAATGAAGTATTTTATTTTAATGGTTGTTTGTTTTGGGGACGGAGAGGGAGGCAGTTTAAGGTAGGTTCCCTGTTAGTAACTCCTAGGCATAGTTTGACAACCAGGGCATGTGTTTACAGGTAATAGTTTAGATTGCACTTAAATTTGCATTTTCCACAGCCACATCACACTCCTGACTACTAAAGGGATTTAAGACAAACATATGCTATTAATGAATTGTAAAAGCATCCTGTTTACACTATCCAGACAGTTACTCTTCTAGCTCTTGTATTCATAGGCAAAAATGGGACCCATAATTTGCTATGGAGAAACAACATATCTGCCAGTACATTAGCTAACCCTGTTCAGAATGGTGTTTGATGACATGATGGTAAAAGCATGCCATAACTTTAATTTACCAGAAAACTCTGGTCATCTGAAGAAGTGGGCTGTGCCCATGAAAGCTCATGATACCATCTACATGTTTTGTTAGTCTATAAAGTGCTACCAGACCATTTATTGTTATAACTTTACCAGTGAGACCAATGGGCACTGGTAATAAATTAGAGATAACATTGTTGTCAGGTTTAGACACTGCACTTGTGTACCTGTCTTATGGAGGGGTAATTCCTGCTACCAATAAATCCAGCTAGGTTTGTCATCTATGAAACTTATAACTGTATTGATGCTTCTTGATCTCAACTTGTTCTACATGTTCATTTCTCTGAAGAAACGTGCTTTTAGTTCAGTGACAGTTTATCAGTCCAGATCTGTAGAAGACAGTGTAAGGTTAGTGACAAGAATCTTTCACTTTTCAATAGTCAGTTTCTATATATAAATTGGTACTTGATGCTAATCAAAGAACAAGAAATATTGGATATGCTCTAAATGTCCATTGTGTTTTTGAGCCAACTCCTTGATGGAAGTCATCACTTATATGTAAATGAACTGTCAATGGCTTGCAAACGTTGGCAATCACTGGACTGTGAAGGGTATGTCTTAATAAGAACCAAAGCTCTTCACAGACTTTGATTTACTGGAAATAAAACAGAAAAGTCCTCTGAGACTACAAAGGACACTTGTTTCAGATAAAACGTCTAGACAGTAGCAATATATTTGAGGCTTTTATTATAGTAAAACTGCAAATTAGAATAGAGTGCTGAGAAAATTCCTATGACCCCTCAGAGTAAAAAAAACAAAAAAAACCCCACTGTTTGAAACTGATCCTTGAAACACTTACATTCAGAATAAGTTCATAAGCATTCAGAAGAAAGAAAGAAAAAGACAGACGTGTAAGGTCAACATTACATCTTTTAGAGTTTCCAAAATTTCACATTATTTCTGAAAATGTTCTGTCACCCTTTGCAATTCAGCATTAAATGTGATTTAAAAAAATAAAAAGTGAGGGTATGTCTACACTACCCTCCTAGTTCGAACTAGGAGGGTAATGTAGGCATACCGCACTTGCAAATGAATCCCGGGATTTGAATTTCCCGGGCTTCATTTGCATACTCCTCGTGAAATGAGGAGTAACGGTAGTTTGAACTAGGAAGCCTAGTTCGAACTACCTAGTTCGTGCCCCGTGTAGCCGCGCGGAATGGGGTTCGAACCAGCGGGGTTTTAAAAATGGCGGCTCCCCGCTTATGCAAATGAAGCCCGGGAAATTCAAATCCCGGGATTCATTTGCAAGTGCGGTATGCCTA